ACTAGCGATGATGGTGGCGATGTTGGCAAAGACGACGGGGCAGCCAGTGACGGCGCCGATGCTGATCACGCCGACCACGATGACGGCGTCTTCGCGTCGGTGATGAGGGTGTTGAAAGGAATTCGAAATGCGCGCACGGCAGACGCGCGAAAGTGGCTCGCATGGAATTAGTTAACACGGATCGTGCTATCCCCGCACGCGCGCAAGGGCGTCCGAACGATGTCGACATGCGCGTGCGAAGCCGGTGTGGTAGGATTTTGCGAAAAAAATGGCAACAACGCGCGGTTGTCTTAAGAATCCGGAAGAACGCGCGCACGTTTTTGTTGAAAACCCGTGTTGCGAAACCGTGTGTGTGTGTTGTATGTTTTCTGGACACTCGATTCTGAACTTCTTCCGAAACCAGAGGCTTTTGAACGATTTCGGCATGCGCGCGCGACGGCGCGCGCGCGCGTGCACTTCGCCTAGTTTATTGCACAGGATTCTCGCGACGGCACGCGCGCAAGGGCGTCCGAGCGATTTCGACATGCGCGCGCGAAGCCCGTTTGGTAAAATGTTCTTGACATGTTGAAAACCAATCATGTTCTTAAGAACTCGCAAGAAGGTACGCGCAAGTTTTTTGTTTTGAAAATCCGTGTTGCGAAACCATGAACTTTTTGCATGTTTTTCGGACACTCGATTCTGAACTCCTTCCGACACCGAAGGTCTTTGACTGATTTCGGCATACGCGGGCGAAGACGCGCTCGTGATCATTTCGTTCCATTTGTTGCCAGGGACTCTTGACAATTTATGATTTTTGATAAACGAGTGCGCGCGCATAATATTTTTTGCGTCGGATGACGTGGTGGGGCGATATTGCCCCCCTGGGATGGTGTAGAGTCAAACTCAGGATGGACGATGGGGCAAAACCATGTGTAAATTGCCATACGAAAAGGGGTGTCTTGAACCCCGGGGGGGGACGGTGGTAAAACCTCTTCCCCTTTTAGAAATAAAAAAGAATCTCTGTTCGCAGCGAGTTGTCCACTCCACTGCTCGCGCAATTTGTTTGCAAAGGAAAATATACTTGAATTGTTAAGATTTCTAATAAACGAGCGCGCGCATATTTTGTTGCAAAGGATGGCGAAGGGGGTGATCCCGGCCTGACCGGGATAACATGAATCCACAAGTCGGATGGACATTGGGTCATAATCGCATGTAAATTGCAATGCGAAAAAGTGATACAGTCCGGGGGAGGGTGGTAGAACCTGTCTTTTGTAGACAGGAGAATCTACGATGTGCTACATAAACTATGCAATACAAGTTGCGCGCTCTGTGTGGCGCAACCAGTGGAATGCAATCTACGTAGTGCAATATAACTGGTACAACAGATGTCGCGCAAATTACGTGGTGCGCTTCGCGGGCCTCGCGGGCCAGACGCGTACTAAGATCTCCGGTGACAGGTTAGAAGATTTAAAGTTCGCGCGCCGGGCGAAAAGTACCTCGTCCGATCTCCAGCAAGGTCCGATCAAAATGGTTTTGCTCCTGGACGCTGCTCTCGCGGTTCCCAAAACAGCCCCGAGAAGAGCCAAGGGACCCCCAAGGGGCCCCAAAGAGGGCGAATAGTGCTCCGAGACGCCTCGAAACCATCCAAAACATACAAAATGACCGCATACAACCCAACAGGCCTCCAGCACCAAGAGGCAACCGTCATACATTGTCCTTCGGTTTTTGATTGGCGTTCTCGTCGTTTCGGCTTCCCGACGCTTCAAGACGGCCCAACCCTAAGATCACCCCAAGACGGCTCGAGAGGCCCCCAAGAAGGCCTTAAGACAGCCAACGAGAGCACCAAGACGGCCCAAGAGGCTTCCAAAACGGTCCTGGAGCCTTTTTGGCAAAAAGGCTCCAGGACTGCCTCAAGACAGGGACCAGAAGGGGATCCCGAACGGACATTTTGAGCCCCCAGCCCGAAGACAGGACCCACCTCAAGAGGTCCCCATAGAGCCCCAAGAGGCCCCCAAGAGGCCCCCATAGAGTCCCAAGAGGCCCCCAAGATGCTCCCAGGACGCTCTGAAGAGGGCCCGAAAGTGCTTCCCAGGGACCCCCGACAGCCCTCCGAGGAGACCCAAACAAGCCCCCACGAGGAGTCTGACCCACAATTTAGAGACGGTGGCGGGAGCGGCCGACACGAAGGTCTACCGTCCATGTTTTCGTCGAGCATCACGCTTCGAACACATCAGCCCGGATACCTCCACACGAACATGCCCTGGACTCAGCACGATGACCCAAAGAGCGGGAGGTCGAGCAGAAAGATAGGAATTCGCATCGGAAAATGAAGCGAGGAGGATGGGGAGGTGGAAAAGGAGAAGGAGGAGGAGGAGGAGGAGGAGGCAGAGGATAAGGAGGGGGAGCAGGAGGACGAGCAGGAGGAGAAGGAGGAGGAGGAGGAGGAGGAGCAGGAGGGCGAGGGGGGGAGGGAGAGGGGGAGCAGGAGGACGAGGAGGAGGTGGAGCAGCATCAGCAGGAGAACAAGCCTGGCGCCTCCAGCCTCAACGCCGCAAGGGCAACGAATACGCGGGCAAACGCCAGCGATGCAGCATTGTATGGGCTGGCGGAATGAGCGAAGCGATTCAATACATGTTATGCATTCTATAGTGTGCTATCTATGTGGCGCAATCTTTGTTGTGGAATCTATGTGGTGCCTTTCGCCCTGCCGAATTTGAGGCTGTCAACTCCACTGCTCGCGCAATCGTCCCACCAACCCACCCGCAATTTTGTTTGCAGAACCTATGAGGCGGCCAGTGCGATGACAGCTCGGCGCTGGCTGGCTGGCGCATCGCCGCGGCCACGCTACCGCGCATGCTCGCGCGCGCAGCTGCCAGCCAGTTTGGGGCGACCGACGCGTCCGCAGTGGCGCTGACCGCTGGGCACTTCCCGGCGGGCACTTCACTGCGCGTCGGCGCTTTGGGCGGGCGTGGTATCATGCCACGTCGACAAGGGTAGACGCGATGATGATAATAGCGATGCTGGTGACGACGGTGAAAACGGAAATCGCACGGCCAATGACGGCGCCGATGCTGATCACGCAGACGACGATGGCGGCGTCCTCGCGTCGGTGATGAAGGATTGGATCGGGGTTCGACATGCGCGCGCAAACGACGCGCGAAAGTGGCCCGCGTGGAGTTATTTGATACGGATCGTGCACCCCCCAGCACGCACACAAGGGCGTTCGAGTGATTTCGACACGCGGCGCGGGGGGCCTGGTTGGCAGAATTGAGCGAACATGTTGAAAGCAGATGGTTTTCTTGAGAAGTCGCAAGACCGCGAGCGCAGGCTTGTTTTGAAAACTGATGTTGCAAAAGCCTATGTGTTTATGTGTTGCCAAGACACTCGGCTGTGAAATCCCTACGAAACCTATGACTTTCGAGAGATTTCGGAATGCGCGCGACGACGACGCGCGCGTGCACTTCGTTTGTCTTTCGCAAAAGGTTCTTGACAACTGACGAGTTTTGGTAAACGGGCGCGCGCATAGTATCCTTTGCAAGGGATGGAGGGGGGCCATACAGGTTTGGCTGGAATGATCTGCGTTCAGATTTGGGATGGATGAAAGGAGGATCATAGGTACATCGCAATACGAGAAGTGGGGCCATTAAGTCCAGGGATGCTGGGAAAAGGGGATCAAGTGCATTTTTCGCTGTGAAAGAAAGACTATGTGGTGCAACGAACGTGGTGCAATACGTGTTGTGCAGCCTGTACTGTGCGCGACGTCTGTTGTGGAACCTATGGAGGGCAAAATATGTGGAGCAATGCGTGTTGTGCAGTATGCGTTGTGCAGCCTATGTTGTGCAGTCTATGTGGTGCAATATGTGTGCTGCAATCTATGCGGTGCAGTCCTTGTTGCGGCGACGAGGCGGCGACGGGGCAGCGACGGCGGCAACAAGGTGGCGGATCCGAGAAACGCGCCCAGACGACGGGCGGCGGCAAGGCGGCGACGGCGGCAGAAAGGCGGCGGACCCGACAAACGAGCTCCGATGATGAGCGGTGGCAAGGCGGCGACGGGGCGGCGAGGCGGCAATAAGGCGGCGGACCTGAAGGTCGAGCCCAGTTCCTTAGAACACAAGCAAGAACCCCTAAGTGCAAGCACTGCTTGGGGAAAATGCGGCTGAGGACATCATCAGGGGTGTAATGTCGGTCCGAAGGCCAACGTTTCCACACCCCGTTCACCTCGGTCAAACCAGAAGTGCAATGAACGTCATCATTATCATGCGGCTAAACCTGCAAGGCGGGTCAAAAGTCGCCAGGCGAACCCAGAATGCCACATCAGACGACCAGCGATCGGCGAACTCTCGCAGTGAACCGAGGCATGTGACAAGAGAAGGCGGGCGCGCAGCCGACGAATATGCCCTCGGACCTTCGTGCGGTACGACATTCTGCTCAAAGACGTATTGTGTCAAGTCGGGCGTGTCCTCCTACAGGCGGATTTTGAACGACATGCAAAATATAGTCAAACAAATCCAGACAGAGCCAAACGCACTGAAAAGACATCGTCCCGTTTGATTTAGATTTATATATATGTATGTGTATATATATATATATATATATATAGGAATACTCCTCCTGTAGAGGGAAAGGCCCGACTTAGATATAGTGGCACTTTTACAATTGAGATTGGAGTTTCCTAAGATTTGACATGCCTGCTGTAGAACAGCGCGCAGCATCCGTGCGACCTGCTCCTCTCACCAGAGCAACGAAAAAAGGGGATCAACGTAATTTCTCTGAGGTTCGCGCGGATTTCTTGGATCGGCGCGGGAGGCACCACCCAGGAGGCCCAACGCCGATCCAAGCAATCCGCACGGACCTGTCAGTGAGAGAAATTGTGCATATGCCGTTTGTGCTTTTTCGACTGGGGGGCTTCCTTGCCTGGCTACCCCTGGCGCAGGTCTGCGACCTGTGCGCAGGAGGGTCTCGCGGGAAGCGCGCGAAAAGGCGCTCCCAATGGCCGCCCCATCAGGCGCGGCGGCGGCCGCCTTGTAGGTCTGGAGGGTCATGCGGTTGGCGGCGGGCCTGGACGACATCTCAGCAGGTGGCCGGCGTGGACCTGGTGCGCAGGTGGGGCCCTGAGATCTGGGCGCTGCAGGCTTCCCACACCGTGCGAGCTCGCTGGGCCTGGGCCCCGGGGCCGCCACAGCTCGCTCCGGCTCGATGCAGGCAGCAGGAAGAGAGGTCTTGGACTCTGGCTGCGATTCCTCGCGGTGTTGCATGTTCCTCGCAGTGTCAGATCTCGGAGCAGCGTCGCGGCACCAAGAGTTCAAGCATTTTCGGCCTTCGTGGGCCCCTGCTGGGCCCGGGGCTTCCAAGAAGGCGGCTCAGGATGAGAAGCCAATTCCCAGGGAGATGTCCAGGCGTCTGGGGGGGGGCGAGAAATGAGCACGACGGTGGATGTCTGGGGAAGTCTCTCTTGGGGGGGGGGGGGGGGCCTGCTGGTGAGCTTCTTGCTCGCCGGAGGCTTTCCCGAGGCCGCTCCTGTGACACCTCAAGTACGCCCGGGTGCCCCGTCGAGCCTCTTGGGGGAGCGCCCTTCGGACCAGCACCCTGGTCCCCTGGAGGTGCGGTGGGGGGGAGGGGCCCTCCAGCTCGCCGCGCCCTCCCTGCCAGCCCCCATCCCTCACATCCCCTGTGTTTCTTCATGCGTCCCAGGGATGGTCGGGAAGCCCCTCCTTCCGAGGAAGAGGAGGGCGAGGATGATGGGGCGTGAAGAAGAGGACCAGTGTAAGACCAAGACGCGTCAAGGATGTTGCGATACCCTCCCTGCAAGCTCCCTCTTCACAGGGCCCTACAAAAGTTTATCTCATTGAGGGCAATGCCCACTTGGACCATTGGAAAACAATCGCTTGGGAATCCTCAGTCATACCAGCACACATTTGCTATGACTTCAGCGTCCATAGTGAGAATGACTGTTGCGCCTTGGCGATCCCAAATCGCGCCAGAACACATCCCCCAGGACTTCAACACCACGAATGAACATGACATGCTTCCTGACACCCCCAAATCTAGCCAGACGACCACTCCTGAGACATAGGCCACCCGAATCCTTGAAACTTAACAGACAGGTAGACCTGATGTGTGCGGCGTCAGAAGCGAGAACCACGTGTCGAAAACGGCACGCCCCTCATAAACTTTTGAGACGAATGTGCGCAACGCTACAGCGAGAACAACATGTTGAAAACGAGCCGCCTTCCAGTCGTGAAACTTTCGCAAACTTTTGAAACGCCTGTGCGCGGCGCTGAGGCGAGAGTCGTTTTGAAAATGAACCGCCCTACATCCGCGAAGCAGTTTCAAACTTTTGAGACGAGTGCGCGAGGCGCTAAGGCGACAACCATATGTTTAAAAAGCCGACCTCCATCTGTGAAACTGTTGCAAATAGGTGGCACGAATGTACGCGGCGCCAAGGCGAGAACCACAGTTTGAAAGCGGCCTGCCTTCAATCCGTGAAACTGTTACAGATTAGCAAGCCGCAAGATCCGGCGAAGGCGGCGCAGACAAAACGACCGGCCCGCCCTACCGACCCGCCTGGGTGAGTGACAGGTAAGAGTCTGTTATAAGGGAAAGGGATGAGGAAAGAGGAGGGGTATTAGGGCGAGGCCGGGAGGGGCGGGAAAAAGAGGAGGAGGGGAGAGGAGGAACGATGAGGAGACAGAAGGGGGAGGAGGATTGAGCAGGGAGGAGGAGAGGAGGGGGCGCAGGAGGAGGAAGAGGAAAAGGAAGAGGACGAGGAGGAGCGCCAGTACCCTTCAAGAGTCTGTCGGCAGGAGCGGCGGCGCGCGGCGGCGCGCGGCGGTTCGGCCGACCAGCGATGCTCGTTGAGGCGGTCCAGCGCCGCCTTGTGGCACGCCCTTCGAAGGGCAAATATGGAAGTAGGGGTTTTCGTAGCCGTTGCAGAAAGTTTGACCTCCAAGTGGAGGTAGTGGAGAAGGACGAGGTTGCGCACCCTGGTCTGGCGCGAGAACTCGTGAGCCGCCTCCCCCGGAGAGTCTGCGGAAGCGCCGAGCCCGAGGCGATGTAGACCCTCTCGGTGTGCAAACTCTGGCGGCCCTGTAATCCAGTGAAGGGCGCGACGGCATTAGACGTAGTGGCTGATCTCGTCGAGGCCGTCGTCGAAGCCGAAGAGGCAGGTGGAGGAGGAGGAGAAGGATGAGGAGAAGGAGGAGGAGGAGGAGGAGGAGGAGGAGGGGTATGAGGAGTGGGGGGAAACAAAAGAAGGAGTATGAGAACAATGATAATGGGAACGGGAAAAGAAAAATAAGAGAGGAGCGCGCAGGGGACAGGAGGAGGTATGATATAGAGCAGGGAGGAGGAGAAGAAGGCGGAGGAAGAGAAGGCAGGAGGTGGAGGAGGAGGAGGAGGAGGATCTCATCCCGCTCCCACCCCGCCCTCCTTCGTGACTGCCACCGCGCCCCCCGGGCCTCCCGCAGGATGCCGCCCGCACCGCCACGATGCGACCACAACGCCACCGCGGCACACCTCTGCGATGCCGCAGCGATGCCCTCAGCCCGCTGCCAGACCACCAGCGCGCGCCTTCGCGCCGACGCCGCACGGCGGGCCACGTCTCCCGCGGCAGGGCCACGAAGCTCGGAGCCCGATCCCTCTCCACAAGGGCGGCCCCGCAATCCCTCCCGCGCTCCAGCCGGCACGCGGTCGATACCCCGTCCTGCATCTCTACCGCCGGGCCAAGGCAAGAAGAACATCCCTCAAGAACACGAGACCCTCCGCAAGCCAGAACGCTCCGAACAATCCAAAGAAGTGTGATTACCGCAAGGAAAAACATCCCACGAGCACGAAGAACACTAGGATACCCTCCCTGAACCGACCTTGATGTTATACTTCGGTCCGACCGTACCCCATCTTGCATCTCTACCTCCCCCTTCCTGCCATCGCTCACTCCCTTACTTCCTTCCCTAAGCCCCCATCAATTCCTCCAGAGCTGTTGCCAGCTTCCGACCCTGGCTCTGCCTCATTCGTCTCCCTCCTCCGTTCGCCCTGAAAATTCGTCACCCCCTTTTCCTCGCTTTTGTTGCTCCTTATCATCCTCGGCAGCCAGCCCTTTTCCTGTTCACCCTCCATCTCCTCCGGCCCCCTCCACCTCCTCGCACCTGTAGGCTCAACTTCCTCACCCCTCCTGACTCCCCCCGCTCCTCCCCCTATCCCTCCTTGCCCTCCCCCACCCACCCCACCCCTCCCCACTCGAATGCCTCATCACTTCTCTACTCCACTCCTCCGTTCCCAAGCTCCTTGTTTCCCCCGGTCGTCCCTCTCCTACCCAACTCGTCCTCATCCGCTCGTCGTCCTGCGCCACAACCTGGGGCGGACACAAGAAGTTAACCTCCCTCGCCTTACACGGAGCGAGCCAGCGAGAACTACTCTCCCCTGACCCTTGAATAACCCCCATGCCGTGCTCCCGCGGGCTGGTGCTGGTGTCTCATCATGGTTGCGAGCTGACAAAATACGAACATGAAACAAGGCTGGCACGGCTCATAAGCTCGGAAGTGACGCCACCTCATCTCCTGGCCGCAAACGAACCCAGCGGGCAGTGGTCGGCCAGGCGGTCAGGAGATGGGAGCGGTGGCGGCACCTTCAAGCCCGATGTCCGTCTGGCCATTGCTTGAATCCTTCGGGTTTCTCACCCTTGTCGTTCTGGCTTAGCGCGTGCTTCCCTTCCTTGGACAGTCCAAGGACACACGGTCGAGCTTGGCGGACGAAGCTTGACATTGCTCGGGCAGCACCGCCCACAAAACCATAGACCCACGCATTTCTCGACACGGTGGGTCCCATGTAGCTGGACGGGGCGCTTCTCGCGATCCGTCCGGCAAAACTCTACGAACCCCGCATTGCTACTAAATCTCAAGCAAGCCATGCATTTAAAACCGTTACCTTTCTTCTCACAAGACACCGGGGGTCCCACTGGCCGCCGTGACCCGAACTCCGGCCTGAGCCTCGGTGTTAACTTTGGCCCTGGCTACCAAATGCTCGTCTGGGGTCGTCCCGTGGAAAAGCATAGCTCATAGCTGGCTCGGCCATGCCGATGCCGATGCCAATGAGCAGGGCCCTCCAGGCCAGCCTATCCGCTTACCTAACTTGGCGAACGAGGCGGCGCCTCCTGCGCAGCCAGCTCGGCGAGGGCATCCGCCTTTTGGTTGGCGCGCCAGCGCTCTGGGGCAATAGAAGCACCGAGGCCTTCCGCAATTCAATCCACAAGACAGCTTTTCGAAACGCGTGCAGCGTCGGCCCCTCGTCGGGCGCCTTTGATTACTTTGCTTGTGTTTGCTACAACTGTCGCATCTCCTGTCGTCTTTTGTAGAGCTCTGACTACTGCTGGAAGCTCGGCCTTGAGGACTGTTTGCCTCGGGCCTGCTGCGCCTCTTCGGAGAAACGCCGCGAACTTCTTATCGACGCAAAGATCGAACGACCATCCCACTCTTTCCACTCTGGCGCCCCTCGAGCGCTCACCTCCTGACCCGTCAGATCCTACGACTGAATCCGGGGGGTCCTGAGTCGGCCTGCATTGGGGTCTTATCCATGAATCTTGGTTTCTTCCGCGTGGGAAAGAAGATCAGCCCCGGTCATGGCCCACAGGGCCGGGGCCAGTCCGCGAAGCCAATAGCAAGGATGCGATTGCGCGCCTACCTTCGCTTATTCGCACAAGTCGAAGTTTTCGCCGAGGTCATAGACAGCGGGGATTGTGGGGGCATTCCAAAACCTGGTGAAATTACGACGCCTGGCGGGGCGCCAGGACCATTGGTTCTTCATGTCCAGGACACCAGCGAAGTTACTTACATCCTTATAGCGCAAGCTTTTGGGGTGGGCCCGATCCACAGCGAGGTGCAAGCCGAACTCGACCCCCGAACCTCCGAAGCGCTTGCTGGCGCGGGTCTAAAAGCGTTGCTCCAGGAGGGCCCTGACTCGAATCTCATGAGATCTGGCCCTTCAGGGACAACAGAATTGATGTTTCTCCGCGTGGCATGGTCATGGCGATTTGGCAATTCACGCAGAACAGAACGGCATATACTGCTGCTGAAAGCGCCCGAGCGCGCTGCCAGCGGT